ATGTCTATAATTTTTCTACATTTTGAATATATATATATATATATATATAGATTCCAAAAATTTCAAACCATGAACTTCCGTGGTTCAACACCCATAATCTTAGTTGTAGCATAAGATCTGATGCTTGCAAATTTTTTAATATTCTTGAAAAATGACAATAAAAAAGAAGAGTAATTGTTTTTTTTTTGTTTTATAATGATTTTTATGAAAATTTCATATATTTCTTTTAAGAGTGATGATGGATCATTTTATTCTTATTTAAACAATAGCAACTATCACTATTCACCCAAAAAATATTTTTTCAAAAATTTAAGCTCATTATTAAAAATAATAATTATTTTAAAAGTTTTGACTCAATTTTTGCTTTATACTATGCTGATTTTTTCGTTCCATAATAAACTATTTCTGCAATTTTTTTCCACTTTTTATAGAACTAAAAGAATTTTTTTTTAATTTTTTCTCTTTGTATTGAATTGTAGTATAATCATAATTTATGTTATTTTCTTTACTATCCAACCACTAATATAAGGTGATATTTGATGGTCGTGACGTAATTTTAATGTAGTTATTATTTAATAACATTTGTAATAAATAAATTATTGAAGCTTTTTATCTGTGAAATGAGATGTGATGTGATGTGAAGTGTGAAATGAGTTTAAGAGATTCCAAGTACAGTAATTGATATGCAATGCAAATATATATATATTATAACAAGCGTTGAACGTATATATTATTTTTTTAATTTTGTATTCGGTAAAGTCAGTATATTATCATTTTTGCATTTATTCGACGAAAACAAATTAAGTTTGTGAAACTATCATTGTGACTTTCTTTTATAATTCCTTAAAATTTATGAAAAATAAAGATTTTGACATTCTAATTAGGGTAATTATGCATCATAACTTTAATAAGCATTTATATATACTTCCTTAAGAATTTCCATCAACAAATAAACATAAAATAAATTTCGAGTCACTTTTAATTAATTATAATTAAATTTTTATTTTAAAAATAACGAGAATTAATTCCATACCTTCTTTAAATATATATGTATTGTATAGTTACATTCTATTTAGAATACTAATAGAATAAAACTAAGCAAGAAAAGATTATTAACTTTTTTGCAACCAAAATAATTTCTAATTTTGCAAATTTAATCCTCCATAAGCTGCATTTATTAATTGATTTATATAATATGAATAAAAGTAAACTCTAATAAGTTATAAAGAGTGTGCTACGCTTTATAATATAGCGCCCGAGGTCAAATAACGATGATTTGATATCACCTAGCGTTATCATTTGAAAACGCATTTATCTTTCATAATTGTTTTGAACAAAGATTTTAAGTTACAAATTTTTTGATATCTTTTTTTTTCCAGTTTTTTTCAAAAATGTAAATATATAAATTTTATTTTCAAAAAATTTTATTTTTAGACCTCTATTTGCTTTAATTTTTTTAAATCTTAAATTTTTAGTTCCACCTTTTCACAGACCACAATTCTAATATAAGATATCTTAAATAGTGAAACTAACCTTATTATATTAAATAAAATCAATTCAAAATAAATCTGTCAGCATTTATTGTCGTTACAGCAGGCAGAAACTTAACCTACTCTGTCTTTAAGCGAGTGGGCTATAAAGATGAAGTGAAAAATGAATTCCATTGCATTCTTAAGTACACGGCATGAAAAAAGGCAATGACCTACCAGAGCTTCTTAGTATATGTCACCATTATTGTAGTTACAGTAGGCATAAACTCAACCAACTTGGTCCTTAAATGATTCTGCTCTGAAGACGAAATTAAAATCAAAGTTCAATGCATTCTTACGAGAAAGGCAAGAAAGAGAATTAAGTAAAATAAATAAATAAAAATAGAACCTCCTACAGCCTATAAATTGCATTGTCTGATTTATCGATTATGTAGAAAAAAAGACATAAGTCAAACCTTTGAAAGTGTGTTAATATTAACGTAATAAAATGGATTTTTGTAATTTGAAAAAACGGGTGCATTATATTTAGAGTTACCCTCCTAAAAATATTTTAGAGATATCCAAATTAAGGCAGATTTTGTCAGCATACTGAATAAACTAAAATCAGTTAAAGATTTGAAACCCTACTTTTAGCGATAGACTAGACACTTTTGAGAGAAAATGATTTTCCACGACTAAAAAAAATATTCTCTTAGTTTTATATATCGTAATTTTCTTTACTTTTCCTTTTAAAATCAACAACACGTGTATTAAAATTTCATTATGTATATATTTTTTCTTTAATCATTTCTTCACATCAAATTTGATATTATTACTATTATAAGAATGAAAAAAATAATAAAAATGTATGTATACAAACAATTACCGTATCTTGGAGCGGCGAAACCGAGTGAATCGAGAAATATTTCTTGAACAATTTCGTTTTCTTCTCCCGAAGTCAAATCTTCTACTGAAGCGATTTCTTCTGAAGGGTTCTGTTTGTTTTTTATATTGTGCCTAAAATAGTTTTATATAATTAGTTATCAATAAAATACGTAAATAATGAAATATGAAAATAATAATAATCTATTCAAATTCTTGCTTGTTGGAACTAGCTACAACTTTCATATGTGGCCAAGTTAAAAAACATTTGCATGCAAATGAATTCTTCTAGACATTATTCAATACTATGTTTAAGCATGAGAGAAAACATGAATAAGATTGAAACAAATTATCGTAATATCGAGGTTCAGCGAACTTATTCTTCAAAGTTTCAAAGAATGTTTATTCATAAGTGTTTGTAAAGTGAACAAATATTAGTTGGATAGGAGTTATAATCAAAGAATTAGATCCCTAACTATGCCTAAACTATGCCTAACTTAAGATAACAAAAATACAACAAAAAAATTTCGGCTACGATGTGTTTAATGGAATTTTAATACGGTTACGATGTACTTAGAAAATGTTCTTAATTGTATATAACCTTAAAACAAATGGATGAAAGAACGGGGAAATAAAGTAATAAGAGAAAATTGCATTATTTTTTATAGGAAATAAGTTAAAATTGTCATATAGACTTTGAACAGTTCATAAATTGTTTTGTCTTTGTTCCACATTTATGGAAAAGTTATTTTTAAAAAATTAGACAAAAAACGACTCTACCCCCTTTTTTCTCTAGATTTCAGAAAGCAACTAAATTATATTATTGATTAAGTATTATTTCATTAACTGTGCTTTTTTTAATTCTTAATTTCTCATATATTTACACTTAAAGAGTTATTAATATATTAAACAGCTTAAAGAAGATATGTTCTAATTGACATTTTTTGGATTTAGATCTTAAGATTTAAATAATTAGACTAAAGGAAGTTTTTTTTAGAACTTTTCAATATTAAATCAAATAATAAATTTTTCAGATTTCTGAAGATGAAAATAATCAGTCGCAGTCCCCGGTACTTTTGGAATGGAAAAAAAGGTCAGAAGTGTATTTAGCAATAAACAGTGAATAAGTAGCCTTAAAAAGCCAACTTGTCTGTTGGCAAAAAATTATAATGCCAAGAGTGCATGTGCTATGATGCAAAGACTGTTTGTATGAGAGTCAGAACGAAATAAATGTAGAAAATTGCGTATATAAGTTATAATGTAGCATTAAATAACGTATAATATAACGTTATAAGTTACATAATTGTATAATAATTACGAATCAAAGGTATAAAATGATATTTATGTCATGTTGCAAAGTCAAATTCATCAAATGTCACTTTGAAACTTCGTTCAATGAGCTCTTCAATTAATTTCAAAATACAACAACAATATAGTTTAAATACTACCTACATATTTTTTCCAAATTCAGTAGTTAACTAATCACTCATTCACTTCGGATGAAGCTTAATATCTTCAGTAAATTGGGTTTCACCAGATTTTTTTAAAGGGTCAGTTTTGTTAATTTGTAAAAAATCTACTCATATTTTTTTTAAGTGAAATCAGCGTTCATTCAAGGACTCTTTTAGACAGTGTTCAGTTGTTGTGGAGGTCTGAAAACAAGATGCTATTTTTGAACAGGGTGCAACAAAAACTCAGATAACCAATTTTAAATGCAACTTAATAAAAAATAAATAAGTTAACAAAATAAAACAAATAAATATACGAGTAGACTTTTCTTAATAAATAAATTAACTTGATTTCAAAGTGGTCCCAATTTAGGGCGATACAGAGGCGCAAAGGCTTGTTGTTATTTTCAACAATGAGCCGCAAGTCCTCTGTATTTAATCTATATTTTCCCCGCTGAAACGGTTGCTTCAGAAAATCCGACCTTTTGGCTGATGTAGTGCGAGGCCTTGACTCCAAAATGGATGATACACTGTAATTCATAGGATTAAAGTCTGGCGAATAGAGTTGCCATTTTTCAAATGATATTATGTCAGAAAATGCGCTTTGTTTGCCTCTTTTTGGCCTTGAGAGGTCTTGTCTTTTAAGCCTCGTTGAAACTTCCAGTTTGTATTATTGAAGTGCTTTTTGAACCTTGGGGGTACAACATCATCTAGAATGTCCCCCCTAGTACAATTTTTGACTTGTTTTACAGCCCTGATGCACAAAAACCAGGGTGTTTGTGGTGGAATTTGCAACTTGCGCAAAATCCGCCCCAGACCAACAGTCTTTAGATTTTGGTGATGCCCAACAATTGAATAGGTGCTTGGAGTATCTATAGAACAGATCCTATTGTTTTGAGAGTGATAAGCTTAGCGGATGGTAAAGAGGTTTGCATCAGTGAAAAAAAATCTCTCCCAGCTCTGATTTGCGAGCAATTGCTGAAAATTTCAGTAAGTGTTTGTGTCTCGGCATCCCTTGCAAAAAGCAGCCACTTTGAAACTAATTAAACTTATTCATTAGTAAAAGTTTATTTTTTTATAGTTTGTTAAAGTTTGTTAATTAATTTGTTTTTAAGAAAATTATATCAATAACTGTCCAAACTCAACCGTTTGTCCGGGGTTTTTTTTTTTGCAGCATCCTTCAATTTTAAGAAAAACAAAAAACTTTTAGATTGAAATACGAATAAATTAATAAAAAAGAGTATTTTTTTTTCATTAAAGCAATTATGTAGAAACTCATTTTTCATTTTATTATATTTCTCCCCATCTACTCACAGTAAACAAATCTGAATTGAATTACGATATAAAATAGCCGGCACCCAGTGGGCAGGAGTATATCACCGTATAATCCATCTTTACTTTGAAATTTAACGGAGCCATAACCCCTATATACCGTAATTTTTACAGTAATATTAACAGTAAAATCATTGTATTTATTTAACTAAATAAATATTACTGTAAAAATTGTGGTACAAAAGTTAGCTATGAAAATGGTTTTTACTGATGCTGCAACCAGGTTGTCTACTTTTTACCGTAATTTGGTTCGGAATAGTTTACAGTACACAGGGAGCCAATACAAAAATAACTTTTGATCTAATGATCAGATCTTCACGAACTGGAACTCCATATAAATGATTTGAGGGGGGGGGGGGAGAGCTCAAATCTGTTAATTAGTGAGGATGATATTTTAAGCTTGAAATCAGACAGAAAAACGCGGTGTCTCTGAATAAACATACCTTTTTTTCAGCGGATTCGGATTTTTGACCCCAAAATATAGGGGGTAGCTACTATCTGGGAAAAATGGTCCCCATAGTTTGATCAGGAGAGTGATCTAAAGTTTGGACGTGTTAATGTTAATTTCAATTTTTGCGTATTTCGCATTATAAAAAGAATTGAAAAATGTTTGCCCACAGTTATAAAATAAGTTTTTCCAAAGATAATTCCACACAAAAAAATTTAGTAAATATTTTTTATTTTGAATTATTTAATTTAATAACATTTATTAATCTTATAGTTTTGTCAGGAGAGCGATCCAAACTTCGTAGCCCCTAATGTTAATTTCTTTTGCGTATTTCGTCATATCTCGAGAACTTTATAGAGAATTAAAAAACTTTTACAAAAAGTATAAAATTCATTTATTCGAAGGTAAATCCCTGCAAAAAATAAGTTTTAGTAAATATTCATTACTTTTTATTATTTTGTGTAATAACAGTAAAAAAAAAATATTTTAAAATATCCAACTTTTTTACTTCATTTTAAAGAATGAATGCGAAATCGGTTCAATAGCTCCCGAGAAATCAATTTCTAAATTTATGACTTATCGAAAATTCGACTTCTCAGGAACTATTCTACCGTCTTTTCTCACATTTTTATTTTCTTATGTAAAATTGGATACTTTAAAATGATTTAAAAAATTGTACACCATACAACTCCAAATTTTTCGACTATTATCTAACAAATAATGAAAAAATAACAAATATTTACTTAAATTTATTTTTTGCATGGGATTTTCCTTGGATAAACGAATTTTAGAATAGTGTGTAAAAAGTTTTCAATTAGCTGAAACTTTTTCGAGATATGGCGAAATACGCGAAAAGTAAAATTAACACCTGACTGAACTATTAGGACCATATTTCCCAGATTGCAGCTACCCCTTATATTTTGGGGGTCAAAAATCTGAATTCGGCGAGAAAAAGATTAGCTTATTCAGAAAAAGTGCATTTTTTGAGTCTGATTTTGTAATTTAAAATATCGTCTGTACTAATGGATTACGATATTTGAGGTCACCAACTCTAACTATTCAGATTGAGTACTAGAACGTAAAGATTCGATCATTAGATAAAACTTATTCAGAAAGATATGTCTTTGCTTTCTTTCTTTCTTTTTTTTTTATTTCTTACAATGTACTTTACAGAGCACCGGTTAATGGTGGTATTGTTGCCACTGTTTAATAAGGGCTTCGCTAAGGTTTCGTTTTTAAAATGAAAAATATTGTAAATGGACCGTTTTTAAGAGAATTTTTTTTTTGATATATCTGTTTTTCCAAAAAATAAAAGAGTCGATAACAATCTTTTATACTTCAAAAGGAATGGGTATAATTATATTCTTAAATTGAAAAAAAAATATTACTCGTTGTTTTATGAATGTAAAATTTTATGAGTGCAATATATGTTTGAGTGTTCAAATATTAATTCTGAAATTATTTTTTCTAACAGTTCTTGAGATGTCCTTAAAGCAAACGTGAAAGAATTTCTAATTTAGAGAAAAATACTTCACACACATCATTATCGTTAACTACGAGCGATCATTAGATATTAAAGATATTGAAAACTATTTCCAAACGAACATTAGATAAAAAAAATCAATAAGGCGTGCTGCATTTTTATTTGATCATAAATAGTTAATTGTTTTTCAACACTCATTAATGATAATGGTAAGTCAATACTGGAACATTTTAATGACTGAAAATATTTGAAATGTCTATCAAAAAAAATTATAAGGAATGTAATAAGACATGAACGTGTCGCTTTAAAATTATGAAAAATAATAATCACATAAATTTTTTAAAAAATGATTTTAAAATACGTCGTTTTAACCTAACTGAAGAGAAATTCACGGGAGTGTAAGTTAAGTTTGTTTTGAATATCTTAAAATAATTAAAAATATTTTGACATAAATTAGAAATCAATAAAGTGCTCTACGTTTTTATTTGATCGTAAATAGTTATTTGTATTCTTAACACTCATTAAGGATAATAGTAAGTCAATAATTGAATGATTGAAAAAGCTTGAATTGTAAATCAGAAAGAAAAAAAAAACTTGAAAGGAATGTTAAAACTTGTTAAACATGTATTTAAAAATTTTTTAAAATAAATAATCATATTAATTTCTTTTAAAAAAAATGATGCTAAATTACGCCGTTTTCTCCCGAATAAAGTGAAATTCACGCTAGGGCAAGATAAATTTGGTTTGAATAACTTAGAATTAGTAAAAATATTTCGTTATTAACTGGAAAAATAATTTTAGATCTATAGACTACATAGTTTCATACAATATGCACTATAGTTATAAACTACAGTTATAAACTACATAAGATTTATCCGGGGATTATTCCAGACATTTTGTGAAATGGTCAAAATTTATCGATAATTTTGTGAATATGTAAAAAGTAAAGGCCTGTTTTTGCAACAACAAAAAAAGATCAAATACATTTATTTATTTTTCAAAGTTTTTAAGGAACATCTAAATCACTGAAAAGTCATTTTTCTGAGAAATTATGAGTTAAAGAAAACATATATTCCATTATTAAAAACAATAGTTTCTTGATTGTCCCATTTCATGATAAAAAATTTCGTGAAAGGTCATTTTTAACTATAAACATACTGTGGAGGCTATGTTACGAACCTAAATTACTCCTAAAATGACTCATGTTTAGCTACATATTATTATTTATTTGCATTTTCTTTTTTTCTTTTATTGTTAAAATTCATGATCAATTTATTTAGACTTAAATAGTACAGTCATAAATTGTTCTTATAATAACGCATAGTTATAGAAATGATTCTTATGAGAAAAACACCTATAATATTCTCAAATTTTCTATTACTCTATTAGTGATTATTATTCTCTAATAAAAGCTTAAATGAATGAAAATTATCTATGTGAGAAAAACCCAACAGAAATAATTAACAAATTGATATAATAATTAGCAAAATTTGAAATTAAAAGAATAAAAATATTAAATGAATTAAATTTGTTTAATCCAGTTAATTTGGTTTAGGAGTTTAGATATCTCTTCATATTGCTTCATTAAAAAATGTCTGAGTTTTTTAAACTTTAAAAATACTTAATAGCTTAATCCAGAATTTAATCTTTTGAATTAAAAATTGAATTTCTTGAAACTTAATACTTTTTCCAGCATTGATTTTTTTTCTCAGTTAAGAAGCACAACTTTTTAAAACTATGTTGATAGAACAGCGTTTAATTCTTTTTAAAAATAAATTCAGAAATTTCTTTTAAAATTAATCTATATAGAATAAAACTTTTCATTATAAAAATAGAAAAAAATTAGAGTAAAATTAAATATCAAATTAATCATCTTATATTTCAGAATTCAAATTTATTATAAAGTTTCTCAATTTAATTTTTATCAACAAATATATAATTTAGCTTGATATAAATAAATTGTATTATTCTTTTTAAACGTTTTATGTTTTTCTCTTATCTTAATTTGTTGAAACAGTTTTTTATAGACAAGAATAGAAACAATTTTCCAAAACATTTGCAAAAAAATACAATTTTTGTCATTCAAATTCATGATGAAGATAGAAAATTTATTTATTTAAGAGCTTAAATTTGCAATGATGCTATTAATATTGTTTAAAAAAATACTTGCCATTCTAAAAATTAGTAGCATCTAATTTTATTTCCAGTTCTTTTTAATTATTATTAACATTTAGAATAAGTCATTATAAAAAAGTTGAGCAATATGCAAAAAAATAAATGGACCACCCTGAATAACTTTTGAAAAAGTCGTATTTTGAAAATAAGATTTCTCAAGAACTATACAAACGACTTCGCTCAAATTTTGTAATTTGCTCTATAAAAGTGCATTCTTTGAAATGATCTAAGAAATTATATACCTTACAGTTCAAACTTTTTTCAGCTATTATTAAATGAAGTAATGAAAAATAACAATTATTAACTAATAGTTATATTTTGCATGGAAATCTTCATTTCGCCTAAAAAGTTCTCTACGCAAAATGTAAAAGGATATACGCAAAATGTAAAACTAAAATTAAGGGTTCCAATCTTTGGAACGCACTCTCGATCAAACTATTGATACCATATTTCCCATATTATGGCTACCCCCTTTATTTTGGAGATTGCAAATCCGAATCCGTTAAAAGAAAGGTATGTTTATTCAGAGGAAGTAGGTTTTTGTGTCTGATTTCGTACTTTAAAATATCGTCTGCACTAATTAATTAGTATATTTGAAATCATCCCATAAAACCGTTAAGACTGAGTTATAGAACACAAAGATCCGATCATTAGAGCAAAAGTTAAAGCAAAACTAAAAAAGAGCAGGGTGATCAGTATTTTATTTTGAGCACTGTACAATTATAAACTATTTTAGGACTTATCAACAAATGCAGCTTTTAAAAAAAGCACCTAAGATTTACAGGTATTTATTAAAACAAAATTGAAAAACTTCAAGTTCATTAAAACTTATAACCAGTTTTTCTTTTGAAGATTATTAAATACAGGTTAGTGCAACTTAAATATGCTATCTTTAATTAAAAGGCTAAATTAAGTGCTTTTAAAATTAAAAAGATATTCCTTCGAGTGTTTTATTGTTCTTAATAAATTTTCAAGTGTCAACTAAAGTTATAAAATTTATTGTAACGCCACATGATCTTCAATTTTAATTTTTTTTATTACATAAATCACTCATTTCTTCAATTGTAATCAGACTCACTGAATTTTTTAATTATACTTTTGAAATATTTTCTTAAATCAAGGAGTTTTACATATTTATGTAATCGTAGATAAAAAAAATCATTTACCTAAATTGTAATATCAAATATTAAATGCACTTTACAAAGAGTAACACTACAGATTTCATTAGAGTAAATACATGAAACAAGTATACAAACGTATTAAAATTTCCACGATTAAGTGTTCAAATAATGAATAAATGACTTACTTGACTGCTGCCCACAAGGCTGGATCCTTTGAAAGTAGTATCTCTTTTAAACTAATCCATAGAAGATTGGCCTTAAACAGAAAGGAATAAAAATAATATTGCAAAATGTCTCAAATAGTTTCTTTCATGCAATTAAGTTAAGCTACTTATTTTAAAGCTTTTAAATATGATTTATTTATGAAGGATTTAATTCGATTATTTATTCATGGTAATTGCAGTTAAAATTGTGAAGAACATAACTAATAAAAATATTATTTATATGAGTGTAGTAGAATCTATTTTATGTGAATAGGAAAAAAAATAATATGCATAGTCAACCATATTTAAGATAATTAATAAAATGCAATATATTCGGTGAATAAAAAAAAATATGCAAACTATAAAAATTTCGAAAGTAAATGAAAAAATACAGTTAAAAATACATTTTTATTAAGAAATTAAGAATGACTAGAATATTAGTTAATACAACATATTGTACGTTATTGTTAATATTGGAATGAAAAATCGGTTCTTTCTTTTTGAAATGTAAATTACTAAAAAAATAAATAAAAATATTTAAATACAAATATTTAAAGCAACACTGGTGTTAAATTAACTTTAATAGAATAACAGTTGATATTTGCAACAACAATAATTGTTTGAGTGTTTTAATTTTAAACGCATGCAAGAACGTAAATAAAGTAAACAGTTTTATACTGCAATTAATTTCTCTTTCTTCCATGCTAGTATTTGTATTAAAAATTTGAAAAGGTAGATTAATAAGAGCAAAACAATATTTATTTTCTTTTTCACCTCTTTTTAAAATAATTACGATACTGAAGTGTTTTAATTCGAATTAAAAGTTTAGTTTAGGAACCAATAATAAGTGCTTGTAGTTTAAATATTTTAAGTATGAAAAGAAAAATAAATATATGAAACACGGGAACTCATTAAATTATGTTATTGTTAAAGTTTTGCAAAATAATTTGCTTGATTTTTTATACTAAACTTTTTAAGTCAACACTGATTTCAGTTTCTTTTAAAATGAAACAAATGCACAATGCGAGAATATAGTCAATTTGCACAGTGTCTATCTTTACAATAACTGCATTATTATAGGTCATGACACCTAATTATTTTTCAGGGATATAATCTGCTTTTTTAATACTTTTTTTCGTGAGTAACCAATTGCCGACATTAATTATTCTTTATATTTCAAAAAAAACAAAATTAAAACACGTATGTCAGTAAAAGCTCCGATTAGCATGACTATCTGATTATTAGCTAGCAATAAATCCATTGAAGACAACAATAAACTAAACTAAGTTCATTTATTAAAACGTATGAAAAAAATGCTTAAAGGTGGGAAATAAAATTTAAAAAAACAGCAGCAAAGAATTTAAAAATTGCTTAAAATGTAATTCAAAGAGATTTCCTTTTATTCAAAGACACACTTTAAGAGTTATCTAACAATGCATAAAAATCTTAAACTCAATGTATATTTAATAAAAGTATAGGCATACAATTGTGATAATTCCTTACTATATGAATTTCCTGAAACAATTTGTGCATGGTCCCTATTTATTGATCGCACTTTAAATTGTTTCTCACTAAATGTGGCATGTTTAGTTATCTTGCTGACACAAATGATTATAATTTTGAAAATTTGGAAACAAATATGCATCAATCAGAGCTCTTTAACGAGCAGACATTGACTGACATTGAGAAGTAAATTCTCAGCCTAGTTATGATGATCACGTGAGGATTGAAACTGTTAGGAAACTGCTGCAGCGAGAGTTAAAATTATAGAATAATTTCCTTAGTCACATCCGTAATGTTATTTAAAGCATGAGTTACGGTTTATACTGCTTAATATAGAAATGTATTTAAACTGTATGATACTCCAATAAAGATAAATGTGGGAAATATAAACATGTACAGTGCGTCAAAAAATAAATCATCCTGATTAATTTTGTTTCTAATGATCGGATTTTTACGGACTTATTTTCAATGTTAATTAATCGAAGGTTCATCACTTAATTTCCCTACTCATATCCGTAATGCTGGTACTGTTATTCAAAACACGAATTAAGGCTTATACTGCCTTATATGGAATGTTCTTTAACTGAGTAATACTCAAATAAAGATAAATGTGAGTAATATAAAAATATATCACCTTGATTAACTTTTTCCAGTGGACGGATGTTTGCTTACTTAGTGTCAATGTTAATTGAAGATTTACATCAAATATGCTAATTGATTGGTACTAACTATTATATAATTTACAGAATCAGACCTAAAAATTTTTTTCCTCCGAGCCTCTTCGTTCCACGGATTTGGATTTTTGATTACCAAAACAGGAGGTAGCCCCCCTGTAGATATATAGACCCAATATAATCAGGCCAGTGGTGAAAGTTCAGACTAATTAATATTTCTTTTAGCCTATTTCCCCATATCACAAAAAAGTTTGAAGTGAATCGAAAGCTTCTTGCACAAATTTATAAATTTGTTTATTTAAAGATTTTAAAATTTTCCTGATTTAAAAAAGTAATTTTTAGTAATCATTCATTATTTTTTTGCTAGTTTGTTTAATAACGGTTCAAAAAAATTTAAATTGTTAGATATACCTGGTTTTACGTCATTTTAAATTGCCCAACTTAAAATTAATAAGAGCAAAACTTGAAAAAATGATTAAACAATTTCTGAATTATAGGATTTCAAAAAGTTTATATATTTAAATTTTCGTATCTCAGAATGTATTTGACTCGTTTCGTCCAAATTTTGCAGTTTGTCACTTAAATGGTCAAAAAATAAGTATACCATACATATCAATCTTTTTTCTACCATTATTAAATAAATTGGTAATAAATGATTGTTAAAACTTATTTGTTCCACGGACTTATCTTCAGATAAATAAATTTTATAATTGTGAGCAAAATGTTTCTAATTCAGTAAAAAAGTTACAAGAATTAAAAGAAAAATTTAAAAAGTGAAATTAACAGTAAGATGCCCGGACTTTCAACCGTTCTCTTGTCTAAATTATCAGGCTATAATTTCCAGATTACGACTATTCTGACTTTATATTTTAACAGTCAAAACTCAAATCAGCCGAAACGAAGATAAATTTATTCAGAATCGATCGTTTTTATATCTGCTTCTGTAACTTTAAAAATTAGCTTTAACTAATCAGCATTTTTGACATCAACCGTTCAAACCATTAAGATTGGCGCTTAGTAAGTGAAAATCCGATCATTAGAATAAAAGTTATTTAGGGAGATACATTTTATTCTATTACATTCTACCGATATATTAAAACACCCTTAAATGAACTCTTACCTTGCTAATCCAATTCATAGGCGAGGATCTTCAAAATATTATTAAAATAATTATTCCTTGCATTTTTTACTTACCAATCCAATAGTTTAAAAGGGAGTAAGGCCTTTATACATTCTAGATATTCAGTTATAAATTCATTCATCATAAAATTTTTAAGACACAATAGTCGGTTGCAAATTAAGTCTCAATTTAGTCTTTAAAAGGTTTCTAATTTTTAAGTAAAATCAAATCAAATTAAATTTAAAATATTTTGGTATTTGAAAAACAAATAAAAGGACATGTAATAATAAATTTCAATTTTGTTTTCATTTTGCTTTATTTTCATACATAATTTTTACTAATATTTAAATAATTATAGCATCTATTCTAAAGCACAGATAATTACTAATTATATACCAATTTTTTAAAAAGAAACAGGATGCTGCTGTTTTTAATGTCAATTGCCAATATCAGCAAGCATGCTTCGTGAAACCAAATGAATTTAAAGCAGAGGGTGCATTTCATGTTTTTCAGTGGCCCCATCTCTGGCCCAGAACACAAGTTCAGTCACACGTCACAGCCCGTTTATAGGGCGGAACCATACATACATCCATTGCTTCATCCACAGATCGTAATTTTGACCAGAACCGGAAAACGATCAATCTCCCATTCAGCACCCCAAGAGGTATAATTTGTTATGGGAACATAGAGGACTTTGTGACCGGATTGAATTAATGCGCACCACTCACACGGGGAGTTTTCATCCGGCTGGGATCAAACTTACGACTTCTTAGACATTGCCATAACGCCCAACAGACCAGGCAATTCCAGTCTCTGCAACAAGGTTCCACAATGAAGTCATTTTACACCAAGTAAAGTTGGAATTCAACCAACTTTAAAGGGAAACTATCTTTATCGTTTGCTAACTAAGTTGGAGTTTTGTATAAAGCTATTCCTTCGTGGTGAAAATAAGACGCAAAACTCGTATATTCGTCTCTAATCACAGAGAGAACACAATATAAATTTTTAAAAATGTTTATTTTGAAAAGAATCTTTAAAAATAATCACCAAGCTTTTGCCAAACGAGCAATAAATATACATAACATAGAACCATTTTTAGGGTATTAAAGCAACGCGCAATCAAACTTAAAAAAAATTATGATATTATAATATATGTCAATTTCCTTGTAAACTTTCTAGTTATTCCTATAAATGTGTATGAATTGTCAACTACTAAATAATAGCAAGTCTAAAATAATGACATAGCTGAAATTTTCTCACCAAAAATATGTAAATTTAAGACATCGGTACGAAATAAGAAAAATACAAACCTTTTACTTTAGCAATTCTTAAAAGATCTAACTTATTGTCTAAATTTTAGTATCTTTATTCGAAATTCACAATATACATAATAATATAAAGCACATAGACTTCTCCTTTTTCTTCTTATACACGCACTAACAGCAAGCATTCTACAGTACATTATTTCCTCAACAGTATTTTTATATATGGCTTTTATATAAAATTCCTTTAGAAATCCTGTAAGATATTTCTCTAGCAATTTTTAGAAATGCGTCTTTTGAAATATTCATCTGTGATATTTTGTTGGAAGACGTACAAGCCATTTACAGAATTCTTTTTTCTTCTACCTATTGTAGAGATCGTCATATTCTCGAATGGAATTTTTCTTGTGGATGACACTTTTCACAGAGTATCGATTTTTGATCAACTAGATACACATTGTACTTTAACCGATTTCAATGCATTATATATATAT